TATATATAATATATAGATAGATATATATCATTATAATATAATAGATAATCAAATATTTATATCTTTTTTGTTATCTATTTTATATTTATCTATTATATTATAATAATATATATTTATCTATATTTTATATATTTGTATATTTGTCTATTAAAATAATAGATAATATAGACCATATAGATAATGTAGATAAATAAATAGATAAATATATATTATATAATTATATATAGATAATATATATAGATAATATATAGATAAATATATATTATCATAATATAATAGATAAATATAAAATAGATAACAAAAATTTAAATATAGATATAAATATTTGATATCTATTTTATATAAATATATAAATAGATAACAGATAAGGAGATATATAATATATAGATAAATATAGATAATTAGATAAATATAAATAATAAATTATCTATAGATAGTATAGAGAATATACATAAATATATAGATAAATATACATTGTATAATTATTTATATAAAATATATATAGATATAAATATTTGATATCTATTTTATATAAATATATAAATAGATAAGAGATAAATAGATACATAATGTATAGATAAATATAGATAATATAGATAAATATCAATAATATAGATAATATATTATATATAGATAATATAGATAATATAGATAAATATATAGGTAAATATATTATCTATAGATAATATAGACCATATAGATAAGGTAGATAAATACATAGATAAATATATATTATATAATTATATATATAATGTATAGATAAATATATATTATTATAATAGATAAATATAAAATAGATAACAAAAATATAAATATATATAAATATTTGATATTTATTTTATATAAATATATAAATAGATGACAGATAGATATATAATATATAGATAAATATAGAAAATATAGGTAATATATTATCTATAGGTAATATAGATCATATAGATAAATGTATAGATAAATATATATTATATAATTATATATCCAATATATAGATAAATGTATATTTATATAACATATAGATAAATATAGATAATATAGATAACATATTTTCTATAGATAATATATATTAAATAGATAATATAGATAGATATATAGATAAAATATATTATATAATTTATATAATATATATAGATAAATATATATTATTATAATATAATAGATAAATATAAAATAGATAACAAAAAAATATCCCAGACAGGATTTTTATCGTAAAAACGCTAAAATTCCTGAAAAATGCCGCTTTTACCCCAAGGATGTTCTTCCTCTATTTTACAAAGTACCAGAAATCAGTGATGTTGTGTGGGCTCCAAGGATCCCTCCCCATTCAGGGAATTTTCTGGGATATTAAAGACTTTTTTTTATATGTATATAAAAATATATATTTATCTGTATATTATATATGTATATAATTATATAATGTATATTTATCTATATATTTATCTGTATTATCTATAGATAATATATTATCTATATTATCTATATTTTTCTATATTTATCTATATATTATATAAATATATATTTATCTATATATTGTAGATATAATATATTTTTCTATACATTTATCTATACTATCTATTTTATCTATATTGTCTATAGATAATATATTACCTATATTCTCTATATTTATCTATACTATCTGTATTTATCTACATATTATATATCTATTTATCTGTTATCTATTTATATATTTATATAAAATAGATTTCAAATATTTATGTCTATATTTATATTTTTATTATCTATTTTATTATCTATTATATTATAATAATATATATTTATCGATATATTATATATCTATAATTAAATAATATATATTTATCTATGTATTTATCTACATTATCTATATGGTCTATATTATCTATAGAAAATATATTACTATATTTCTATATTATCTATATTATCTATATTTATCTATATATTATATATATTTTTATCTGTTATCTATTTATATATTTATATAAAATAGATATTTATATTTTTGTTATGTATTTTATATTTAGCTATTATATTATAATAATATATATTTATCAATATAATATATATAGATAATTATGTAATATCTATTTATCTGTGTTTTTATCTACATTATCTATATGGTCTATATTATCTATAGATAATATATTTACCTATATATTTATCTATATTATCTATACTATCTATAGATAATGTAGATATATAATATAGATATATAAATAATATAAATAGATATATAAATAATATAAATAGATATATAAATAATATAATATATACATAATAATTGATATATAAATATTATATAGATACATAAATTGATATATATAATGTATAGATAAATAAAAATAATATAGATAAATATAGAAAATGTAGGTAATATATTATCTATAGATAATAGAGATAATATAGAGATAATGTAGATAAATACATAGATAAATATATATTATATAATTATATATATAATATATAGATAAATATATATTATTATAATATAATAGATAAATATAAAATAGACAACAAAAATATAAATATAGATATAAATATTTTATCTCTATTTTATATAAATATATAAATAGATAACAGATATATAAATATATAAATAGATAACAGATATGTAATGTATAGAAAAATAGATAATATAGATAAATATAGGTAATATATTGTCTATAGATAATATAGATAAATATACCTATATGTTTACCTACATATTTATTACCTATATATTTATCTATATTATCTATATTATCTATATTATCTATAGATAATATATTACCTATATTTTATTGGTAATATATCTATAGATAATATCTTTACCTATATATATTTATCTATATTATCTATATTATCTATAGATAATATATTACCTATATTTTATAAGTAATATATCTATAGATAATATCTTTACCTATATATTTATCTATATTATCTATATTATCTCTATTATCTATAGATAATATATTACCTACATTTTCCCTATTTATCTATATTATCTATATTTATCTATACATTATACATCTATTTATCTTTTATCTATTCATACAAACTAAACAATATTAACACCAAATACCACCAAAAAATTTATTTATTTTTATTTTCTTCCATTCAATCCACCCGAATTCCACCTCCTTCCTTTTTCACCCCCCAGCCTGTGAAGCAGGTGACGTGGCACGGCAAAGGGTCACAAAAAAATCTATTTATTTTCATTTTTGTGCCCTTCAATCCCACCGAATTCCACCTCCTCCCTTTTCACCCCCCAGCCCGTGAAGCAGGTGACGTGGCACGGCAAAGGGTCACAA